CCCCTTGCTTCCAGACCCTGAGCCGCCGGCCGGGCACTTCCCCTCCCGGGCTCCGGGGGCGCAGGGTCCAGAGGCATGGGGGCTGCTCGAAGCCGGTAGTGCTCGGGCAGCCCGGCGCTTACAGAGCCCAGGAGATCAGGGAACACAGCAGCCGCCGGAGCCTGGGAGGGGAAGTGCCCGGCCAGGGGCGCAGGGTACGGAGGCATGGGGGCTGCCCGAAGCCCGAGCACTACCAGCTTCACGGTTTGCCGGGCAGCCTACAGACCCTGCGCCCCCAGCTGGGCGCTTCCCCTCCCAGGCTCCAGCTGCGCTGGGGAAGTGCCAGCCGGGGGCGCAGGGTCTGGGGGCTGCCCGGCAAACCGTGAAGCCGGTAGCGCTCGGGCAGCCCTTTTCGCGTGGCTGGGAGGGAGGAGGGGGAATGCGGGGCGCTCAGGGGAGGGGGCGGAGTTAGGGCGGGGACTTTGGGTAAGGGGCGGGGTTTGGGCAGGGAAGGGGCAGAGTTGGGGCCGGGGGTGGGAAAGGGGCGGGGCCACGGCCCCATGGAGTGTCCTCGTTTTTTATTTTTTAAATATGGTAACTCTATACTTGCTGTTATCGGGACCTCCAAGGCCTCACCCTGACCCGCCTCTTCCACCCAAGGCTCCACCCCTGCTCCGCTTTTTCCCTTGAGGTTCTGCCCCCTTTGCCACCTGTTCCCCCAGGCTTTGCCCCTCCTCTGTCTCTTCTCCCTAAAGCCTCGCCCTCGTCACTCACTCCTTTGTCTCCCTTCTCCCTATCGCTCACTGGATCATCTCCACCTCTCTCCCCCACCAGCTGGGCGCCCTTTGTGCTGAGGCTGGGGCGGGAGCTGCTGCAGCCTGACAAGGTGCCTGCCTGTAGGTATGAGGCAGCCCTGGCTAAGGAGGGACTGGCGAGGGTTAATCACACGGTACCTCCCCCGCCCCGCGGTAAGCAGACTTTTGGTGTCCAGTCAGTATGTCTGACTGCACACTGCCAGTTCCCCTTTTCAACTGGACTTTCCATAGGCATATCTCTTCAGACTATTCAGATGCTGGACTGATTGGGGATATTGGACATTTGAGCTGTGTTGCATAATAGTGAGAGGTTAGCTCAGTCATATAGTGTTGTTCCCACTTCCATGGCGAGGCACCTCAATAGTGACTGCCACCATCTTGGCCGAAACATGAGGGATTAAACCAGGGACTTCTAGTGCTAAAAACTTAAGTGGCTACATCATGGCTACAGAGCCATGGCTCTCTAACTGGGGTTGTAAGACATTCATACCCTCTGTGGATCTGGCACAGGGAGGTACCTGTAACATGTTCATCAGTGGGTTACACAAGCACTTCAGGTACAAATATTACAATTTGTTTTAAAAGTTGCTTTTCACCATTGTTGGTGTGAGTGAACTGGATTATTCAAAAGTTCTCCGAAAGCAAACACTAAAGGGGTACTAAAACGGACATGTATTTGTTTGAATATTATTGGGCTTGGGAGGTTGCATTTGCACAGTTGTAGTTTATCTGTCACTATCCTTCTCATTCTACAGATGGCTACATTTAAGCCAAATTGTGAAGCAATTTAATATATGTCAAGGTGAAAGGTAGTAAATGAAACACCTACCTGTTGCCCCTAAACAAATAATAATTGTAATAAAGCAACAAGGAGTCTGGTGGCACCTTAAAGACTAACACATTTATTTGGGCATAAGCTTTCGTGGGTAAAAACCTCACTTCTTCAGATGCTTAGAGTGAAAGTTACAGATGCAGGCATTATATACTGACACATGGAGAGCAGGGAGTTACTTCGCAAGTGGAGAACCAGTGTTGACAGGGCCAATTCAATCAGGGTGGATGTAGTCCACTCCCAATAATAGATGAGGAGGTGTCCATTCCAGGAGAGGAAAAGCTGCTTCTGTAATGAGCCAGCCACTCCCAGTCCCTATTCAAGCCCAGATGAATGGTGTTAAATTTGCAAATGAATTTTAGTTCTGCTATTTCTCTTTGAAGTCTGTTTCTGAAGTTTTTTTGTTCAATGATAGTGACTTTTAAATCTGTAATAGAATGACCAGGGAGATTGAAGTGTTCACTTACTGGCTTATGTATGTTACCATTCCTGATGTCCGATTTGTGTCCATTTATTCTTTTGCGGAGGGACTGTCCGGTTTGGCCAATGTACATGGCAGAGGGGCATTGCTGGCACATGATGGCATATATAACATTAGTGGATGTGCAGGTGAATGAGCCCTTGATGGTGTAGCTGATGTGGTTGGGTCCTCTGATGGTGTCGCCAGAGTAGATATGGGGACAGAGTAGGCAACGAGGTTTGCTACAGGGATTGGTTCCTGGGTTGGTGTTTCTGTGGTGTGGTGTGTAGTTGCTGGTGAGTATTTGCTTCAGGTTGGGGGGTTGTCTGTAAGCAAGGACTGGCCTGCCTCCCAAGGTCTGTGAGAGTGAGGGATCATTTTCCAGGATAGGTTGTAGATCGAAAGCAGTAAGTAATTCCTTTTATTTGAGTGAACTAAAAAAAGCACACTTAAATGAATGACACTGCCCATCAGGTCACCTAAATTACCAGTTAAAGCAATGAAATGACAAAACATAGCACATTAAATATTGTTGATAATATGTAAAGCTATTGTTTTGATACCACTAAGTGCTTCAATACAAGTGGGTTTAATTAGATTTGTAGGAAGCAAAAATCCATGTGTTCCTCTGTCCCGAAGTTCAAAGGTAAAAGAATACTTAATGCCAAGATCATAAGCCCAGTCATCTGAACCTCCAGGAGCTAAATCTGTAGGACAAAGAAAAGGAAACAGATTATTATCTGCAACCTTGGCCTCAGTCTTACACACTGCCTTGTGGTAGAGAGGATACTCTGTCATACTGATTATAGTACTAAAAATGATACTTACAGATAGTTTGTGCACCAGGGCCAGACTCATACATTTTCTGACTTGTTTTTCTAATAGCATGAACTACCTTATCTGCCACAGATAGCTGAAATCAATAAAATATTAATTAACTTTTATAATTTAGTAAAAGTGTTTCACACTGACTCTGTTAGGGCATTGTAACCATCCACTATGGGTACAATAAAGAGAGAGGACCTGTTTACAACATGGTTGTCCCCAGACCTGGCTGCATTGCAGTTTTTAATGTGAATATGTGGTTGGCTTTAGAATGCTTACAAGATGTGGCTAAACATGGTTAGGTTATGTCCATGGTACAAATAGCATCTATGCTGCAACTGGGCAGCAAACTTATCACCAAATCCATTCTGTGTAGCTGTCCTGTATTTTCCATTTCCTGTCAAATATTGTTTAAGTAACCGTTAAGTATTTTAAGTTAAAGTTAGTGTTGAAGCATACAAAAAAGGATTTGATAATACACTACTCTTGAACAACTGACTAGAATGAACTATTCTGTAATCAGTTTACAGGATGTTACATCTCTGCTTCACAAGGAAAGAAGTGACAAATCTATATTTTCTTTATCTTCTTTCACAAATACATTAGCTAGGATAAAAAAATAAATTTAAAAGGGATATAAACCCTCAACTTTCAAGCCATAAGATGGTCACTAATTGAGGAGGCTTGGGAAAAAACATTCCCCTGGGGGCAAGTTATTTCATGTCGGCTACAGGATTTTTTCCTCCTTCCTATGAAGGCTGGCACTGGTCACTGCTAGAAACAGCATACTGGACTGGATAGAGATCTGGTCTGATCAAATATGACAGTGTCTGTGTTCCTACTCTATCATTGTACAAAGCCCATTAATTTAAAAAAAGAAAAAAAACCTTCCATTAAAGAGATAGTAACAGCTAATTTTCAAAATCTTCCTTAAAGACCTTGGATCTGTGTGGGGAAAGAGCGGGAGGGAATGGAAAGGTTGGAGGCAACATGAAGAAGCAATCCCAAATACCCATCACCTGTTGCTGCTGCTTGGCCCCATGCCGGGGATGCTGTGGCATAAAGAATGTCATGAGACTGCCCAGGGAGGTTGTGGAAGCTCCTTCTCTGGAGTTTTTCAAAAGGAGGCTGGTTAACAATGTTACCTCCAATTTTTTACATGCATATGCGGAATGATTTTGTTATGTGTAGCAATATGGAGGTGATGCATGGCAGGAGTGGGGCTGAGGGGTTCGGAGTATGGTCGGGGGCTCGGGGCTAGGGCAGAGGATTGAGGTGCGGGGGGGGTGAGGGCTCTGGCCGTGAGTGAGGCGTCTCTCCCCAGCTGCAGCAGCTCTGGTGGCGCCAGGGCCGGGGCGCCTCTCCCCAAGCACGGCAGCTCTGGCAGGGCCAGGTCTGGGGGAGAGGTGCCCGCCAGGGGCTTTCCCTGAACAAGCGGCGGACTGGCTTTGAGAACCACTGGTCTAAACCATCCAAGACAGATGGCTATCCAGCTAAGTTCCCTCTAAGCTGCGCGGCACAGGCACCTCTCCCCCAGACCTGGCCCTG